TTTGAAAAGAAGCAAAGGGTAGAGGAAGGATTTACACCCTCCGAACTACTTTGGCTCAGTTTTTTCAAGAGAATAAGATGAGGTTCACAACTCCGCAGCCAATAAAATAACCCCTGGAGCAAAGGGACAAAAGCAAGCATTACGCCTATCATCGAGATTATGGGCATTCAACCAATGATTGCAGATCCCTCAGGCGACAGGTGCAGAATATGATCGCCAGGGGTGAGTTGGCAGACTACCTCACGACAAAGGAGTATGCAAAGCCCCGCGAGATCTATCCCCGCAAGGTAGAAGGTACGCAAGTAAAAGTTATTCATGCAATACATCGCAGGTCTGAAGATGATCAAGAGTCCGAGGGGGTATACAGATCCAGACTAAGGGCAACCCACAAGATCAGGAAGATAACCTCAGTCAATGCAATCGCTTTGGGTAGCATTAGTATTGGATTCGGAGATGGCGACCTATCCCGAGTTCAACGGCCCCATAAGGATCCATTGGTCATCAGTCTTTTAGTGGCCAATTGTATGATCAGGAGGGTTTTGATAGATCCAGGAAGTAGCGCCAACATAATCACAAAGACGATCTTTGAGCAGCTGGAGATCCCGTCATCATCTATTCGACCTACCTCCTGCCCGTTGATGGGATTTGATGGCACGAAAGTAGATCCCCTTGGAGTAATAGACTTATCTGTAACCGCGGCGAAGAGGACTCTAAAGGAGAACTTTGTTTTAACAAATATCCATCCTTCTTATAATCTCATCATGGGAAGAGGCTGGATACATCGGATGAGAGGAGTTCCGTCCATCCTTCACCAGGTGATGCGGTGCATATCTCCGGACAGGCAAGAAGTAATTAATCTGTGGGGCGATCAAGTCACAGAGAAGGAATGCTATATGTTGACGCAAGTTGAAGCAAAGAAGGTGTCTACTCGGCAACAGCCAAGTGTGGCTTCCAAAACTGTACCCAAATAGCAATTACAAAGCCCTCTACCTAAGTACCTTAAGGTAGAGGAGCAATTACAGACCCCTCTACCTAAGTAGCTTAAGGTAGAAGAGCAATTACAGAGCCCTCTACCTAAGTACCTTAAGGTAGAGGAGGAGGAGGAAATTGCGAAGCCCACCGAGGAAACCCTAGAAGCAGTGGAGGTTATCCTCGGTGACCCTCAGAAGGTTACTTATTTAGGCTCTTCTTCCACGTCCGAAGAAAAGGAGGCATTGATTGATGTTATCTGGAGCAATGCAGATGCCTTTGCGTGGGATCACTTGGATATGGTAGGGATCGATCCCTTAGTTTCCTGCCATAGTCTGAAGGTGGATCCGGAGTTCGAACCGGTTAAGCAGGAACACCGAAGGTTTGCCCCTGAACGCAATCACATTATAGCTGAAAAAGTGAGCAAATTGTTATAAGCAGGTTTCATTCGAGAAGTCCAATATCCACAATGGCTGTCAAACGTGGTAGTCGTACAAAAGAAGAATGGAAAATGGAGGGTTTGTGTAGACTATACCAACCTCAACAAAGCTTGCCCGAAAGATAGCTTCCCTCTGCCCAAGATAGACCAGATGGTTGATGCTACCACCGGCTACGAGAGGCTGACATTCCTAGATGCATACTCGGGATACAATCAAATTCCTATGAACCCCGAAGATGAAGAAAAAACGGCTTTTATTACAGAAAAGGGGACTTATTGTTACAAGGTCATGCCCTTCGGACTGAAGAATGCTGGAGCTACTTATCAACGCCTTGTTAACAAGATATTCGATAATCTACTGGGAAAGACAGTTGAAGCATATATAGATGACATGGTGGTTAAAAGTGTGAAGAGACAAGATGTAATACCCCTAATTTTAAAAGGATAGTCCTGGCATTTATTTAATTGTTTAATCTTTTATTTAAATTGTTTAATTGCGTGTTATTCTCTTAATTGGTTATTTTAATTGTGTGTTTCTTCCATGGTTATTTAATTTTTTTTTTAATTGATTAAATTGTTTGGTTTTTCTTTTATTACATTGTTTTAAATTAAATTGTTTTATGATGTTTTATTTGACTTAATTGATAATGGGGTTTATTTAATTAAATTGGTTTAAAGTAGGATTGTGTTTTCTGTATATTCACATATTAGCCGACACAGGTTTTAATTAACTTCTATGGGCCGGTTAGGATTTAGTTAGGGCTTTAATTAATTTAGGGTTTTGGTATAACTCTATAAATATATGGGTATACGTCTGCCGAGGGTTTCTGAAAACCCTATTCACCATATTCAGGTATACAGTGTTACAGAGAGTTGTGAGGGCAGAGTAACAGAGAGGGAGTTTGCGTACGTTACAGAGAGAAAGATTTAAGGGAAACACAGAGTGAACTTAGGTGATTAGCAAAGCAACTCAAGGAGGAAGGAGCGTGGTAGTGGGGAACTACAGTGCATGACACAAACATATCACACAGAGACGGTGAATTAGAATTTCAAATCTGAAATTCAAAGGCAAGTCTCTGTTCCACTCTATCACTTTAATCTGTGTTCTGTGCATACTTAGTTAAGACTCCAAGGATTAAAACAAGGATAAAATGGACTTAAATAAACTTTATAACAAGTTTTATATGCATGTATGAATTTCATTTACTCTCGTGAATTAACTGCTTTGCAAGAATTGTTGATTTTCTGCTACTTGATTTTGCTGCGGATTGTTTCTGAATCTTGTGTTAAATTCTTGTTGTGAATATATATTTATGCTTGAGAATTAGTCTGAGACATTAAATGAACCCTTGTATAAGTAAGTAACACAGTATTGAATGTCACCAAATTAATCTGTTGTGAGTTGCTTAAAATTTCAGACTAAGGTTCTGTGATCGCTGCTCCTAAACCTATGTTCCATGCATGCTATCATTGAATATCAGTGGTTTAAATATGTACCTAGGACTGAGATTGAACCTAGAATAAAAATTAAAACATGTTACAGAGGCTCTGGTAATCACCGGAATCAGAGAAAACGAAGCTGGAACGGACAACGGCTGTTAAGGGAGGGAGAGCAGGCTCCCAAAACCCTTAGAGCCGGCTCCCAAAGAGTTGGAGCCGGCTCTAAGTGATTTAGAGCAGGCTCTAAAAGTTTTAGAGCAGGCTCCAAATGGTTTTGAGCAGGCTCAAAGTTTTTAAAGAGCCTGCTCCATCTTAAAACGCACAGAACTGAGTTTTAGAGACTTTTTGGCTGAAATTGGATTTTCTAAAATTATTTAAAGGCTACTGGATGTTGTAATTTCATGTTTAAGACTTGTAAAAATGTTGGGAAGTATGATTACAAATAGGAACTAAGAACGGAATTAAGCTAAGATTAAACAGTGAACCCGTGGGTGGATGATTTGAAAATTAATTTCTATTGTCTATTATTTTTGGAATTTTATTTCTCTGCATGACTTGGATTTATAAATCATGTTTTGCAGCTGTGTTATAAGTATACTATTGTATAGTTATATGTATGCTTAATTAGGATCAACTGGTGTTAAAATCTATTTTACATTGCATCAGTTATGGTACTGTTCGGAGAAGTAGATTGTGTAATTCTACTCTATCAATTTAACGGACTGTAATTGGGATTCTAAATCTTATATTGAATGCATAAGTTGGTTATATACATGTTAAACTATATTTATGCTAATTTTGGAGTATGGTTGATAAATACTTATTTTTGTTTTTGTCAACTTCGTTAATTGGAGGATTGTATGTACCGGTATGGGACGGTGACATACTAGGTATGGATTAGTCAAACACTAAATCCTACCTACTTTGGATTAAGGTATGGATTAACCCTATGAGTTAAGTCCATCACCTACTTGTGTCATGTCAACAAAATAGTTGAATGACTTAATATGGTTTCGGGACGGATGGATATACATATACCAGACCACCACACAGATGGATGGTATTATGTATTAGGAGGAGTATGGACTTTATATATTTATTATATGTGCCATGGTATGAGCTTGAGTCTCAGGACCATGGTTAGGGCGCGTATATCGCCTAGAATGGATAACTGGACATAGGTGTTGTTCCCTGGTAGGTCTAGGTACTCATGCCCACCCTAGGGTGCGTATTTGCATGTTGCCTTCTATTCAGGCTGAGACAAACCTACTGGACTAGCGAGCGTCCTATAGTGTGTACTATATACATATATTGACTACTCTAGATATTGTTGAGTCTTCCTATGATGTATCTGCGTATCGGATTACTGTTTGGATTGTAGTAGATCAGGACTTGCATGTGGGCCTGACCCACTTCTTTATTTTTCAGGTGCTCGTCAGTTCCAGGGTTAGAGTTTGGACGTGCAGAGCAGATACAGCTATTCACTCCTCCGATTATGTAGGAATTTTCTCTATGTTAGCTTTGGATTTTATTTTTTTATTATTTCAGTATCGTTTGGAGAATTTAAATAAGGGGTCCAATGGATGGATTCCCGAGTTGTAAACTGATGCAGTTTGGGTTTGATGGATTTTAATAATTATAATATTTTGCGGATTCTGTTTTTAGTTCTTTTCAGCTTTAATTTCATTTCTTAATTCATTTTGTATTCCGTGTTCATTATAAATACTTTAATTATTTGATATTCCCCCGGGCTCGGGCCTGGGCCTGATCAACCCGTGTCTCGGATCCGAGGGGTATCACAGAAGATCATCCGAAGCATCTACACGAAGTTTTCAATACCTTAAAGAAGTACAACATGAAACTGAATCCATCCAAGTGCTCATTTGCGGTATCATCAGGTCAATTCCTCGGCTACATAGTGAATAGAAGAGGGATAGAGGTAAGTCCGGCTTAGGCTAAGGCCCTCATCCAGAATCAGGAACCAAAAAATTGCAGGGAGGTGTAGGTTCTTACTGTTTGGATCGCAACCCTCAGTCGGTTTATATCCCGATTGTCAAATAAGTGCAAACCATTCTTCGATGCTATACGATCTAAGAATAAAGATATATAAGGACCTCAGCAGCAGGAGGCCCTCAGTCGGTTGAAAGGTTACATGGCCGAACCACCAATTCTATCCGCTCCAAAACCCGAGGAAGTTCTTATTATGTATTTGGCAATTTCTAATATAGCGACAAGTGCAGCATTGATTAGAAAGGAAGGAAAGAGGCAATATCCAGTCTTCTACACAAGTAAGACCATGACAGATGTGGAGACGTGATATAGTAAAACAGAAAAAGTCATTTTAGCCTTGATCTATGCCAAGAGGAAGTTTCGTCATTATTTTGAATCTCATAGCATTGTAGTACTCACCAACTATCCTATATGGGGTATACTCTCTAAACTCGATTTATCTGGGAGAATTACCAAGTGGGCTATCGAACTTAGTTCCTTCGACATAACTTATGAGCCAAGGGTGTCGCACAAAGGACAAGCCGTAGACGACTTTCTTCTCGAGTATGAAGACACTCCCGAAGAGCCGGTACACCCTGAACCACAGTGGGAACTTCGAGTCGATGGCTCCTCGAATCAAGCAAGTGCAGGGGTAGGCGTTGTAATGTTAACACCCGAAGGCCCCAAGCTGCAGCAATCTATCTGTTTGAAGTTCCCGGCTATGAACAATAAGGCCGAGTACGAAGCATTACTTGCTGGTCTTCGATTAGCTAGCAGCGTCCAGGTACGTTGCTTAAAGGTTTTTAGTGACTCACAGCTTGTTATAAATCAAGTGACAAGTCAGGACCATCCCAAAGAGGAAAGAATGAAAGCATATAAATAAGCTGTAGAGAACGTTGCACGGGGATTCGATCAGATTGAATTCTATCAGGTACCTCGTGTTGAGAATACCGAAGCAGATCAATTGGCCACATCAGCGTCATCCTCAAATGAAGATCTGGCTCGGACTGTGCCGATTGACGTCCTGACGAGCCCAGCATTAATCCTCCGCAGGAAGTAATGGTGATTCCAGTTATTCCTCGAGAACCATGCTGGATTGATCCATTGGAAGCCTACCTCAAGCATGGAGTTCTTCCAGACCAGAAGTCCGAAGCACGGAAGCTCCGTCTCATCGTAGCTAAATATGCCATCATTAATAATCAGTTATACCGAAAGTCATTTTCAGGTTCTTACCTGAAATGTTTAAGCCTACTGAGGCTCTTGTGGTGTTGAAACAAATCCATGACGGAGATTGTGGCAACCATTCTGGGGGTAGATCCCTCACGCATAAAGTCCTAACTCAAGGTTACTTCTGGCCGTACTTGGCCCGGAATGCAGAACAGTATACTCGGAGGTATGACAAATGTCAACGTCACGGTCCTATGAAGCATCAACCTGCCGAAGATTTGCATGCAATGGCAAATCCATGGCCATTCGCACAATGGGGGATTGATATGGTGGGCCCGTTACCCAAGACTGTGGAACAAAAGGAGTACGTGCTACTGGCTACAGATTATTTCACTAAATGGGTAGAAGCCGAGGCCTACTCAAGTGTGACCCATGAGCAGGTAAAAAGTTTTCTTTGGAACAACATCATTTGCCGGTTTGGGGTCCCAAAAGTCATTATGATGGACAATGGTAAGAACCTCGACAATAGAAGTACGAGAAAATTCTTTGCTGAGCATGGAATTATACAAAAGTTAGCTGCAATTAGTCATCCACAAGGGAATGGACAGGCTGAAATAACTAATCGGACCATTTTCAGCTATTTAAAGAAAAAATTGGAGAAACTCAAAACGAAATGGTACGAGAATCTCCCTCAGGTGCTTTGGGCGTACCGAACCACACCACGACGACCCACGGGGGAGAGTCCCTTTGCCATGGCTTATGGATCCGAAGCAGTGATTCCAACCGAAGCAGCGGTTCCAACCCTTCGGACATCCTTATTGATTGAAGGAAACAATAGTTAGCAGCTTGAACATAGTCTCGATCTCTTTGATGAAAAAAGGGATGTTGCAGCAATTAGGCTTGCTTCACATCAGCAACAGTTGCGCAACAGTTATAACAAACGTGTCAGATTTCGGAGCTTTGCGGTAGGCGATTGGGTTCTGAAGCAAGAGACAGCTCATGTCAAGGAACTGGAATCTAACTGGACCGAACCTTACAGAGTTACCGAAGTAGTGAGGAAGGGAGCATATCGTCTGGCTGAAGCTGACGGACGTCCTATTGCGCATCCTTGGAATGCAATACACCTTAAAAGGTATTTCCATTAGATAAGTTCGTCAATTTTATTAGGAATTCTTTGCAAATAAGGCTGCTAAGCCCACAGTCAGTCAAGTTTTTCTTTATTGTTATTTGTTTCTTTCCATAAAAATGGGGGCCATACCACCATTCTATGATTATGCAATTGTGCGTCGCGTTATGTATTAGCAATTTTTATGCAAAGCAATGATGGAAGAAAGTTATTAAAAAGCATGTTGTGGTTATGTAATTTCATGATTTTATGTAAAGTAAAGCTGGAAGCAAGTTATTAAAAAGCATGCGTTTTGACCCACAGTTAAAACTCTCTGTCCCATATCGACAAAAAAGTGTGAGTGGCATCCTCTTATATATGGGAATATTTAAATAGTTGATTGCGGTGTAAGGAGGGCCCACTGGTATTAAAGGCTGTCAGGATCAATACCAGAGGCATTCCTTACACCGATTTTTTTTTTTTAATTTGACAGAATATAGTTTATGTCCCACATCGGATAAAAATAGAAGGGAAATGTGATTGATATATGCATAGTCCATCACATATGCTTGCCAAGAAGGGAGTATCAATGGAAGAAAGTGTCCGAAATAAACAAATAGGAAACTTCTCAGCCATTGTTACTCGCTTTCTTGGCCTTCTATCATTTTTGAATCCTCGGTAAGTTGTTTAAAATATATATATATATATCTGCAAACTTCTCTTCAGGCTCAGCGCCGGGGAGTAATTCATTCACCTCGGACCCTAAGTGTCCGGCTGGGTAAAACCTCCCTCAGGCTCAGCGCCGGGGAATAATTCATTCGCCTCGGACCCTAAGTGTCCGGCTCGGCAAAACTTAGCCTCGGACCTTAAGTGTCCGGCTCAACAAAACCTTCCTCAGGCTCAGCGCCGGGGAGTAATTCATTCCCCTCGGACCCTAAGTGTCCGGCTCGGCAAAACCTCCCTCAGGCTCAGCGCCGAGGAATAATTCATTCACCTTGGACCCTAAGTGTCCGGCTCGGCAAAACCTAGCCTAGGACCTTAAGTGTCCGGCTCAACAAAACCTTCCTCAGGCTCAGCGCCGGGGAGTAATTCATTTGCCTCGGACTTTAAGTGTCTGGCTCAGCAAAACCTCCCTCAGGCTCAGCGCTAGGGAGTAATTCATTCGCCTTGAACACTAAGTGTCCGGCTCGGAAGACCTCTTACCTATTTTGCTTTAGACTAAAATAAATGAGGAACCTTCAGGCAGGGTACTTTTAAAAAAAAAAAAAAAAAAAAAAAAATCTCTCATCCAACAGAATGTGTGCAATATCAAAAACATTCAGGCATAATCAGTCAAAGCAAAATAGAAGTAACACAGCTTGAGAAATAAGGTCATTCATATTTATCATTCTCAACATTGTTCCATTATAAATAAATAAATAAATAAATGCTCGATCCTATTCCTCTTTGGATCGAACGGAACAGATTCGAAAGCATCTACCCCAGCTGGGTTTGCAGGTGGAGGAATTGAAGGACCTGGAATTGCAAGAGTTGATGAGCTTGGAGGGTCTTCCGGGTGAGCCTTCACCATCTCGGCAAAAAGCACTTCAGCCTCCTGAGCCTTCGGACCCTCGTTGTAAGGGAAAGACACCCCCATGTGCACATCAAAGGCATCAGGATTCATCGTTTTGGGGCGTGAGCCTTGATTAAAGCCGGACCGGTAAGCTTTTGCACTTGACAAGCGCACCAGATTGGAGTAACGACCTTGCATCTGCCTCCCGGCAATAATGCAAGTGCTAAGGGCATCATTCAAACGCTGGACCTCAACCTCCAGCGACTCAACCTTTGCATCAGAAGCAGCCAGACGCCTCTTATAGACATCCCGAGCCTTATATGCAATTTGTGCATTGGCAATGGCATGGGATGCCTTCTTCTCAGAATCGCTGAGGTCTTTTTCTAGCTTCTTAAGAGAGAGAGACTGAGCTTCAGCAGTGGCACAAAGGGCCATAGTATGATACAAGCCCTGCATTATAAGACAATAACAATGTAAAAAAAAATTTCAGACAATTATGACAATGGAAATGAAGAAGGAAGCAAACCTCTATGGCTCGAACCGGGGCAGATGGGAGTAGCTGTTCCAATCCTATTCTGCCAATGATCTCTTCGTCCTTAGGGAGCCATATTCCTCGAGCAACGGCCAGTGCTGCAAATGGGTCAGTGATCATAGAATCACCAACATGGAGAATGGACTTCTCGGCCCTTGAAAAAAAAGGAGTCCAAGGTGCCCCAGTCTCAGCAAGGACGTAAGCACTGACCTCATCCTCAGGGTTAATCTCTTCAGTTTTCTTCCCTTTGCTTTTTGGGTGGGAAGCACCCTTGGGTTTCGTGGTTGAGGAAGGGGTCAGCTTTGCCTTTTTATTCAGAGGGACTTCGTCAATCTCCTTCTCCTGCTCATTTATGCGTAGTATAGTCAACGGGGCACTCTCTGCAGATTTCCTCTTCAAGGCTTCGGCCCTCTATTTCTCTTCCTCAGTCATGGGGAAGTTGTCGAATGATGGAAGTGCGAGGTCCATGAGATTAGGGGTTACAGCTCTAGAAGCAACTGCTTTAAGACTCGCAGAAGTGAGTAAGCTCTCGACCGAGGGAGGGTCACTCCAGACCTGCCTTTCCAGGAAGGAAAGCCTCTTCTTGGTAGCCGAGGAAGGAAATGTTGCTGAAAAAACACCAAGAAACTCGTAAATATATCGAAAGAATAAGACTCGACATAGGAAACAGCCAGACCAATCTTCATGAAGAAAGGGGGGATGTTCTATACCTAACTTCTCGAACTTGCGAGGGATTGGGAGTTTGCTCGATTGGGGCACGGCTCATCTCCCTTTAACAATTATCATCCTCTCTTTCCACTTCTTCTCAGAAGTAGGGAGGTCTGTACATATCATTTGGTGCAAGGGGGAAGTGAAAAAGAAACGACAAGGTTCGGTTCCATGCTTAAAAATAGAATAAGTAATCAGCAAGTCAGCTAGAGTCAGGTCAAGACTCTCCTGCCACCGGCGAATGAGGAGTGCTGAGATTACTCGAAGGAAGTTAGGGTTTACTTGCAGGGGTGCAATCCCTAATTTGTTGAAGACTAAGTGATAGAAAGGATGAAGGGGGATGTAATACCCCTAATTTTAAAAAGGATATTCCTTGTATTTAATGGTATTTAATTTATTATTTAGTACATTTTATTTGATTATGTGTCATTATTTTTTTTATTAGGTGCTTAATTGTTTTCTTTTGTGGTGATTTAATTTATTTAAATGATATTTATTTTTAGTTATTTGATTGGAATTACTTGTTAGTGTTTTAATTATTTAATTGGCATTAATGGTTTAAGTGTAATTGGTTTAGTTATTTGATTGGAATTATTTGTTAGTGTTTTAATTATTTAATTAGCATTAATGGTTTAAGTGTAATTGGTTTAATTATTCTATGTGTGTCTTATTTTATGTGTGTTTTATTTGGTTTAATTGGGTTTACTAATTATTATTTTGTTCAATTAGATTATTTGTTAAGTATTTAATGGTGAATAGGGTAATTAGGTAAATACATCTAACTAGGGTTTTAATTACAGTATAAATTAGGGTTTTATATTATAGCCGTCGTAGGTTTCTACGTTAATGGGATGAGCCGGTTAGGATTGTGAGTTGGACTTAAATGAACCTAGGGTTTAGGAAAACTCTATAAGTATAAGGTAGACGTCTGTGTAGGGTTTTTTTTAAACAAAGCACACGTTTTGTGGAAGTGGAGAAGGAAAAATGCAGTTTTTCACATTCTGCCAAGGTTTGATCAAAGCTCCGATCCCGCTTCGTCCGTGGTCCGATCGAGCTGAATTTTGGAGGAGAGGTTCATGACTTAGTGACGCACAATCTGAACGGTGAAGATCAGAGTTTGACCTCGGGAATAGTGATTCGTACTCGTGAACAGTAACTGGGTCGCACAGGTTTTTTTCCATTCTGCCCAGATTTTATCAAACAGCCGATCCCGCTTCATCCGTGGTCCGATCGAGCTGAAATTTGGACAATAGGTTCATGACTCAGTGTCGCACAATCTGAACGGTGGAGATCAGATTTTGAGTTTGGGAATAGTGTTTCGTACCCTTGAACAGTAACCAGGTTTTGGAACTCGCCGGGATTTTTTAAGAAGACGACGTTGAAATTTTGAACAAAAGTTTCTGAGGCGAGATTCTATCCTTACTCTTTCCCTTAGGCTTCATACTCTTTGCACTCTTAAATGATTTCAGGATTAATGAAGATTAAACCAAACTAAAATGATATCTGTTTTGCTATGAAACTGGTAATTACAATAGTATTGTATGCTTGTTCAACCTAGACTAAGCATGTTTGTGGACGCATTGTGGTTCTGTGGTTCACGTTTTTCCTTACCACTGCTAGTATAAATTATTAGAAGGATGGGTCTAGATGATAGCTATCTTAACTTCTGTAATAGCAACTGTTGGAACTTAAATACTAGGAGGATTTGAGTTTAACACTAGATCGGTTTTGTGGAACACTATAATTTGAGCATGTCTACATACATACTGTGAATATTGTTTTGATGCTTACATTATCATAGTTAGTATCAACTGTGGAGGTTAGGATTTTGTGATACATACCCTACATATCTGTATGTCATTTGTAAGGTGTTAAATGGAAGTTTTAATTAATTCTGTCTTTATATCAAACTAAAGGGAACAACTTAAATTGGGCATGTATATGT